GCAGCTGGCCACTGGCCGGGCCCTGCCGGACATGATGGCGGCGGCGGCGGCGTCGTCGTCGCCAACCACCGCCGAGTAACGGCCACGTGTCCGGCCAGCCAATCAGCGCCCGACGGCTCCGTCACGTGGTTTATCCCCCTCCCGCCGCCACGTTCTCCGATCACTGGGAATAGGACAGCCGTTACCCCGCCCAGCCAGCAGTGATGTTACGGGTCACGTGCCACTCCCCCGGCCTGGCCGCGAGGCGTGACGCCATCTCCTTGCGCCCACGTTGGGGGCGCGCAGTGCATGCTGGTGCAGCGGAGGCTACGCGCGCTCGCTGGCAATGGCGAGCGACTTCTACCTGCGCTACTATGTGGGGCACAAGGGCAAGTTCGGGCACGAGTTCCTGGAGTTCGAGTTCCGGCCGGACGGTGAGGAGGGGGGCAAGGCCTGGGGCCCGTGGGCTGCGTCACACCGGGGCCCCTCTTGCCCCGCGTCCCCGCTCCTCTGCTGCTGGGCTCGGATGCAGCGTCGCCCCGGGCACAAGGGGGAGGGACCGGGTCTGACGGGGTTCCCCGCTACCCCCGTGCCCTCTCTCACGTGCAGCCTCCAGTATTTAAGGCCTAGAAAGTGCTGATCACCGGCCCTGCCCCTCCCTCCCCTACTCAGCAGCGACGGGCACCCCTTTCCTCCACTCCCTTTGGCACCTTCCACCACATCGGGCGGCACCGAGCTGTGCCAGGGAGCGACAGGCCGGGTGACAAGGAAGTGCCGGTTGTTCATTTTAACCTGCCTGCCTGCTCCCATCGTTTGCGGACCCCTCATTCTTGTGTTGGCCTGGGAAGAGAGCAGCGAAAATAATAGATCTCAGATGGGCAGAAATTGCGGTTTTATACAGTATTAGCTAACAGGCAGGGGAGGTCCCGCTTTGAACCAGGCTATCACAATGGGGCAGACTCAGTGAGACCAAACTTCATTAACTGGAGCAGGTCTGGGGTTTGTTTCCAGTAAATGTATGTGGTAAAAGGCAGGAAAATTGTAATCATAAATGGCATAAGGAACAGAGAATGAGACCGCTCCTTCTTGCATTGTGAGGGAGTCGGTACCAAATCCCCATGGACTTTCTCTTTTGCTCTTTAGTATCCTGTAAGCCCTGGTCCTGTTCCCCTCAAGCGCCTCTTTCCTAAACGGCCCAGGCCTGGCTCCTTGAGTCTCTTCATTAGAAGACACCCCCCCATACCACTAAGCGTCTCTGCTGCCCTTCTCTGGACCTTCTCTAGTCTTCTTATATCCTTTTTGAGCCATGGGGATGAGAGCTGGGTATCGTATTCAAGGTGTGGACACACCATGCATTTATAGAGTGGCATTATGATACCTTCCCATTTGTTTACAGTTCTCTTCAACTGCAGCCCTCCAAAAGATGAACATCTTGTCAACAGCTGGTCCACCTTCAGAAATCCTAAAATGTATTGAGCTTTTTGTTTGGAAAACTTCAGGAGCAAATCATGCTGATGCCCTTTATTATTTATATAGTCATTTTTGTTTTAACAGAATCCTACAATGAGCTCCAAAATATCCAGGGTTGAAGTGAAGCACTCTCTGTGTCAAGCAAGCAAGCAGGCAGGCAGTCGCATTGAAGCAGTGACTAAAAATTTTAGATGAGGTTGCTAGTGAAAATATACATAACATGTTCAGTTAGTTTATTTTTATAGCCTTTTAATTAGGATGACTAATTCTACAAAATAACATCTGTACTAGTATCAAAGATACCACATGAGCCATTTTACTATAGCAGCGTTTCTCAACCCATGGGCCATGACCCCAAAGTGGGTTGCAAGATTATTTGAAAGGGTCATGAATAGTCACAGAAAAACTTAGGAAAGCACAGGTTTCCTCTTTCAGGCTGGGGAGGGGCTGCAGCCTGGGACTGAGGGGCACTGGCATGTCCATGGAGTCAAGAGTGAGGGGCACCGACAGGGCCAGGGGACTGTGGCTTGAGTGTGAGGGCACCAGCAAGGATGAGCTGCAAGTCAGGAGTTATGGGCCAGGAAGCTATGAGTTGGGTGTGAGGAGCACCAGGAATGTGCATTGTGCAAATTGCACAATGATGAATGTTACTTGGGAGTAATGGAGGGCCACACGTTGATACTCCTGCTTATGTTTTCCTATTGATATTGATTTGTCTTTAAAATTAAGACCATTGAGCTGCTTTAACTTGTAATATGTAATAAGTATTTTGGGGCCAGAATACTTGTGTGTTTTCTACTGAAACTATTTACTGGGTCAGAACTGGCTTTCAGTGTGTTTACAAATTGGTCCTGGGACAAAACAGGCTGAGAAGCATTGTACTATAGAACCCCACATTTTAAAGGTATTTCCCCACTTCTCTGTCTTGGAAGGGGGAATGGCTAGTCAAAGAAGATGCACTATCTCAGCAGCAGATCTTTCTTCCCTTTGTGCGCCTTCTTATACTCAGACTTGTGAATGTGATTATAATCTAGCAAAATAATGAAAAGAAATTAACCACTATAGAACACTGCCTGCTCAAGGTTGAATCAAACATTGATCTTTGTTTCAACAGGAAAACTGAGATATGCCAACAACAGTAATTACAAAAATGATGTAATGATCAGAAAAGAGGTATGACATTTACATGTTTTGCAAGAATAATCTTTGGATATAAAATATGAGCAAATAGGATTAAACAAAACAGCTGGTTTTCATAACTTATCAGACTGAGCATTTATTATAAATGAATGTTTTCTAGATAGTTTATGTAGCTTCCCACACCATGAAGTTTCTCACCTTACAAATGTGGGTGAATGCAGTTTGTTTATTAACGTGTATAAGGGGTTATCACTGCTTTACATGTGGAGAAGTAAGACAGAAAAGTCAGTTGCAGTCTTTGGGAAGCTCCCAAGTGACTTTAATTGCAGGCTTTAAATGAGTATCCAAAGGCATATGGTTTGTGGCAGCACCATGTACTGAATCCATATAACCTGATCCCAGCCGTGCTGCCTTAACCATCAGAATCTCCCATTCCCTTGTGTTTCCTTTTTGAGATTCGCTTTTCTCCCTTTGCTCTCACTTTACTTTAGGACTTAGTCTTATCTCTGTAACAGGGCCATAAGGATCACTGTGCAATTTCTCTCCGTCAAAAAGTACTGTAGCCTGTTTAAGGACATTATTCATAATTTCATTGCTTTGCCACACCCATAATTGTATTGCTTTGCTGCCCCATATCTGAATGAATATGAGAGATTTTTCTCTCTTACTTATCCTACTGATAGTGCATGTGTGAGAGGAGAAAAATATGCAT